CGCTCCTCAACATTCGCTTTCAGACCCCTGCTTATCGTTCCCTAGAAACGGACGTATATTCCCACCCATTTTTTACTTGTTGATAGGTTTGTTCTCCAAAATGTGGCTGCCATACGTTTAACCAGACTGCAGTTGGCTGGTAACCCCATACTAAGGGGAAATCTAGAACGATCGCGTCCGTTCATATGAGTCATCCACAACACTGACTGAGCCTTTCTGACAGCCATGTGGAGTGTCAAGCTCAGTTACCGAATCTGATCAAGCATTTTCCCTGTTAGGTTGCAAGACTCGGATGTTTGTTGATGTCAGTTTTGGGCCTGGAGAGAGTTTTTGCCCGTAAATAAACAACGTTATCTGTGGAACACAACACAGACGTGGTGTTAGCCAGAGACTTAAGCACTAATTGGCCGGTCGGTTTAGAAAGATGGTAATTTACTCGACCGATACCCTACTAGTGCCAGACGCGATACCGATGAACAATGTTTATTGCGGTCCAAAGTGTTGCCTGACGCCCTTCTAACCAAACTTCAATGCAGACCGATCTCACGGGAATCAATTGTCATTGATAAGGCTGCGTATAGTTTCACAATTTACCCTCGAGTTCCGAGTTAGATTATGATTATGGGCCTTATGCACCCCGCTGCCTGCTAACAATAAATAAATCCACGAGATTCTTTTTACAAATGGGCTTTTAACGTTCATACGCTTCCAACTGGCGAGCAGGCAATGCTCGCTGAAACCTAATATTCCCTTAAAAGTGGTGTATGCTGTGTCCCTGAATCGAGCATACAAAACCCAAGCCATCACAAAATGCCAACGACTAACAGATATTTCACATTTCTCTGCGTATGTTCGGTGATCGAGAAGGGATAACTCGTGGAGCCTATGGTGCTGGAGTTGCACTCAGCCTCGAAGCTGAACGCGCTCTGCTATGGGATGCCAGTCTTTGCGCCGTCCGGTTATCCAACTCAATCAAGCTCAGTGCCTCTTGACATTAAAAGGGGCGTTTGCTTGTACTGTCGGCTTACGCTCCAACGGATTGCAGTTCTGACACTGAGAAGGATACTTTCTATCAAGAGGTATCCGGGCTCATTCGTCAAGCAGAATGCACTGACATTGTGATACTTGCGGGCGATATGAATGCTCAAGTCTGAGCTCCTTGGAATCACATTTGGGCGGTCGATTCGGAGTCGATGCTCACCGCACAGACAACGGAGAGTGACTCATCCAATTCTGTGCTGATCATCAGCTGTTGCTGGCCAGTACGAACTTTCAGCATAAACGTTCGTTTTGCGTAATCTGGCGGCCACCAACTGCAAATCAACCGTGGCCCCAGTTGGATCGCGTGGGCATCAGCCACCGGTGGAGAGCCACAATTCAACACTGCTGTTCCATCTGCGGCACACAACTTGATTCCGATCAAGCCATGGTGCGTGTACGCCTGACAGTCCATTTCCCCTCAGGCCATCGCAAGTCAGCAAGAAACATGCTAGTCCATGTCTTGGAAGAACTACCAACAGTATCGATCTGAGCTAGCGCAACAGCTCTCCGCCGAAAACCAATACTGCATTGGCAGTGAGCACGTGGATGAAGCGTGACAAAATGTGAAAGCAGCAGTGCTAGCGGCTTTCAGTGCTGTTTGTTCGACTTCTCCAATTCGACCACAAGACCACTGGATGTCGTCGTGATCGCTATCCAAGATTGATGTCAGGAAATCCATACCATCAGGCAGCGAGTAAGACTGCTCACGCAAATCCCTCAAACGCCAAATAGATGAGAGATTAAAGAGAGGTCGAAAGCTTTGGTGGATGGGAGATGTAGAAGGGTTGTGGTAACGGAAACAGTCGTGTCCTATATCAACTGAAACGATCGAGTGGCCCTAGATGAGCAACGGTTAGTTGAACGACAAATGAAGAAGATGGCTGATTAATTCACTCGCGAAAACGTCGACATGAAAGATGGGTTAAGCACTCTGAAGAACAGTTTTGCTGCCCTGCTGCAACCTAGCCTGTGGTCAAGAAGGGTTCGGTGATATGCGATGATTGATTTATAGTCAACCACCCTAATCTTACGGGTTGCGTTTGCTGATCTATTGATTATCATCGTTTAGCTGTAGCACCCTTTCGGTACCTAACTACCATGCCGCGAGAAGGAAGGACGAGAGCTGGGATACTGCCAGGTTGCCCAAATCTAGGCAGGGGAAGTCGGGAGACAGCGGTGGGGTTCGAACCACGGATTTTTTGCCAGAAAAATGGCGCTTTCTATTGTCATCGGGTCAATTCTTACAACTGATACAGTCGTCTCGTGCACATGACCGCTTTATTTTCATTGACATTAGTTCCTGAGAACATAAGTGTTCTACTTTCAAAAATGGCCCTAATAGTGTGTGCACGGTACAGTGTTTCACGGTACAGTCATGGTTTGTAGCGCCGCTCAGATAGGTGCATGAGTCAACAAACTCTGGCATCTTTCCAGAGTTCCGAAATCCTCGTGTGTGCTTTGCATTTTGAAGATGCAAAAAGAACGAAGCAAGGATGCTGTTCAGACTTCTGGCCGTCAGATCGTTCGCATAGCTCTTGTTTAGTGGTTTTCTCCGGTGCTAGTCCCGATATCAAGAGCATGAGATCTTGACTTTTGCACTTCGTGGTAATGTCGGGGAGAATATTGGAATGGAAGGGATAGGAAGCGCAACCTTGTCGAACCTCACTAGGTATAGGACAACTTCTGAACAGTTTGTTGTGAAGGCCTACACGATCAGAAGTGCAATATAAGTTTACGCGTAAATTATATCCACAAACTTCTTGAGCATTTCTCTCCAGCCAAGTATATCCAATATTGCCGATCTTTCTACGGAGTCAAAGGCATCTTTTAAGTTGAGAATAACTGGACTTATCGGTTGGTGCAATGTATGGCACTTCTTAAGCGTGTGACGTAATGTGAAAACGCTGCCAACGCACGTTTCCCTGGATGGTTGCGGCCTTCGGATGTGACTTGATATTCATGGGTTGGGTGCCGCGCTATTATTGAGGCCAGCTACCCCGGATTGATCCGGGGAATTTACGGANCGGAAGAGAGATGGTCCGAATAAAATCATGTGTTTCAGAGCGATTGGCAGTCGAGTATTTAGCCTCGTCACTGGTAACTAACAGTTGCATTATCATTTCGGCCCATGGTTGTTCAGAATTGGGGAAACGCCAGCTAGTACCTGGCATCCACTGACCATTGATGGAGGAGACATTGGATGCCGCAGGGAGATAGTGCATTATGGCCGAATGGGTTTCTGAGTTACCAGCGACAAATTCCATTTTCTCGGCGACGGATGTTTTGGACAGCTTTCGGTAGGCGTAACCATTCTGTTACAAGTAACAGCGGAGCAATTGTAGGATGAAGTCACAGGTGTATTACGCAGCCGATCATCGTAGCGGGTTTTCGTGTTGTAAGCGGCCGAAGGCCTCAGGAGATTAGATGTCGATAAAATCACTCGAGTGTTCTCTCGTGTTCTTTTTTATCGGCAAAAGTTTCTTGGACGTGACCTCCGACTTCCGTACATGTACTGCACAGTAAACCGCAAGTTTTGATATTTGAGTCGTATCCGCCATTATTAACTCAATTTGATAGGGTGTGAATCAGCTTGTAATTGCTCAGTTACATCTGTCGCCCGTGAGAACAGAGGTGACTATCTCAGTTTTTCACTTTTTAGGAATCTAGAGTCGAGATGGCTCAAGTGGTTAGAGCGCGAACTTACTGACCGGAAGGTCTGTGGTTCGAACCCGACCTCCGCCTCTCGACTTCCCCTGTCTAGGCTTGGGCAACCTGGCAGTATCCAAGCCCTCGTGCTTCCTTCGCGTGGCATGGCAGCTAGGCACCGAAAGGGTGTTACAGCTGACTGGTTATCTTTTTTATCAGTCGAATTTTGGTCCAGCTAAATCGTTTACCTGTAAGACAGCTTTTTACGATGTCAGGAGTGGCATTCTACTGGACAGTTCTGAATTAATGTTCGATAGAAGCTGCGAGAAAATCTAACACGAATGAAGCTTTCTTCAGTGGGAATATGTTCGTGTCCTGGTAGTGCAACAGTAGATGGATGGTTCGGTGGAGATTGAACTGTGTTGTCTGAGCAGAGCATCAGTTATTTATATCAGCACCTTTTAGAAGTCCACAAGATTGTTCTTACGTCCTTCATTCCTTGCCTAACTTAGTGTAAGTTTCAAAAGGAGGCCCTCAATATGATGCAGTGGGTGAAAGAGTTACACAGACTGTCACATACCTGTAAGTTCTGGTCTTTTCGTTGCGGAGATAAACTTGTTAGTTAATTTTCAAGTGACTGGATGCATCGAGATATCCCCGACGGCGATTACAGTGTATAGAAAGGGGAGTTATTTCACCTACTTTACATACTTTCCTGGTGCGGGATGAGTAGGAGTGTGGGAATTATCTTGAATCACTAACCACGATCAATAGCGGGGTCCCAGTACAGTACGTGATGATTTCAGTAACAGTACGATTGATGTACACTTCTCCCATGTGCTGGATATTTATGTTAGGAAGTGCCTTTTACCGAATGGGTGTAGTTTTGTGACATTGGCGCGTGTTCCAGAAATGCTGTACCAACTGATTCCATGCCCTGGTTACTTTTCTGGTCATTTTAAGCAAGGAGACTAACAATCCCAGCAGTCGATACTTAGTTATACTCGGTAGACCGCCGGGTTACCACTGTTACTATCCGGAGACATACCTACTTCGCTTGGTGGGTCTTTTCACTAGTATTAACTTTGATTGTTGGAATTGCTATCGACTAGTAGTCGAATCTGTACAATGAACAGCTGTTTCCCAGTGACGGAAGTTTTCGTCGGACTAATTTTGTCTCAGCCAAGTTTTCCTCAACGTATGTGGTAGATGTTGTTTACCTTTTTTATTCAACTGACACTGAAATTCGCCGGCATTCTATCTATGATCCACTGCGTGTGATTCAACATGTCTGTTTTTTCATCACATTACAGGCGATCATAAACCGTGAAACCTTCTACGCTCTTCCTGTGGAAGCCCAACGAATGTTGGCCGACTTGTTACCCGTCTACGATCGACACAAACACACCTGGTCTTCATTCACTGGCCTTGATACAGAACCGGACGATGCGAAACTTACCCCTGACTCATCTGTGGCCAACGACGATTCGTCCGTCTGGCTTCATCCATCTGCTTTGAGCAATGAGTTTTTCGGCAAAGCCCTGCAGGACTATGCCTCTCGTCAAGCTCAAGGCGACTTTGCGCCAAGAGTACGCAATCGTGCTGGACTGCGTACGTCTGCAAACAACCGATGCCGCTATATGTTGCCCGTGTCAGCTGAAAGCCCCCAGGAAAAAGTAACCACAAGGAGCTTTGTAAGTTTACGGATATCCACACTACATTTTTCATTTGGTATTTTCTCCGCTCGTCTTCCTGTGGCCTTTTTCAGATCATCTCTTTTAGCTAGTCGTAGAACTCTGATTCTTGGTGCGGTTGCACGCAACGGATATATTTGGAACTGCATCTAGGTCTAGGCAGATTTCAGTCTTACGACCTTACTTGGTTAAGTGGCTGTTGGTCTCCGTCAATTGTTGGGTCATGGATACGGTTTTCGAGTTAACCCATCCTAATAGCTGCTTTCGTAGGGGTTGAGTCATGCTGGTCTGCTTAAGAAAACACTGCAGAGAGCAATGTAGCTCAATCTATAAACAGTGTTACAATGCGATTACTAGCTTTGATTCCGTTTACCCAGTTTACCTAATTGGCCGGAGTTTTGTATGTAGGATGCCCGTTTACCAACCAAAATTACTACACTCTTCGTCCACCATCTGTGGTGGCCTCTGGATGTATGTTTTTTTATTCGGTTACGACTATAATCCAGCTTAGACCGTTCTCAAGGTAAGTCAGATCAAATCAGTCGACGCCGTGAAACTTATAGGGAGGTTCGACCGAACGACCACTAGATTCGTCGTGCTCAGTCTTACGTCTGTTACTCGGCCTATCCTTGAAGGGATCTTCGAGCGTACTGGATTTTCTCTTATTAATTCTGGCGAACTCTATTCTGAACGCAGACGTTTTGTTATGCGAATAGTGTTCCTCTGGAAATTCATGCTCTTTTCCAGGGCTTCTTGGCATCTGCTTTCTTCTGAACATTGTGTCATGTCCGATAGTGTCTAGTGACATGCCCACTGTCTTTCGACCGTCCTGTACTGTGACGCAGAACCTAAATTTCTCTGTGGAGTAGCTGTCAGTATATGTAACTCGCTGTCGCAGCACAGGTTGGGCGATTGATCTAGCTGTCATAAACTAAAGGGCGGCAATTGTTTGTCTCACCTGGTTTGCTTCTGATAATTGTGTTTTCGCCTTTTTCTCAAGGTAAATGAGTTCAACTCCCTATCTCTGAATGTTCCGCTCCATTTGATTACTAGGATTACTGGAGTTTCGCTGAACGGCATTGTTCAGAATGGGACTGTTGTATAAAAAATTTTGAAAGCAGTTGTGAACTACCAAGTTATTGTCCTCTGAGTTCTCTCAGGTAGCAAGTCTCACCAGTAATATGACCCGATTCCGTTTGTTACAACCGTACGCCAATTTTTCACTGGAATTAGGAATATTGCGTAGTGTATGCCAAAATTACGAGCATTGTGCAATTATGCATACTGTCACGCGTTACTTGGTATGTATGGACACCACCTGGTAATCGTGTTTAGGACTTGAGTTCGTCCGTTTTTTCTCTACAAAATTTGACGAGTTGTAGATTAATTTCCACGGAGCGATCAGTTGAACTTGAGAATTTCACTCATTTCATATGGAGATTCGTCTATACTAGGTGTTTTGCTGTGTGTTACCACCTTCAACTTCCTTGTTATTATTGGTATGTATTATCCTATACTTGGTCCAATTAAGTGCCACTACGCCGGCGATGGAGTCGTCCCCACTTGCATGCGGTTACCAGAACCTTGCTTTCTGGAAGGTCCGCGCGGTTGAATGTTTTGTGGGGTAAACAGGCATTCATAACGACACTTTTTCAGACTCATTGTAACGTCGTTGCTTTTACAAACATCATGCAACGGTTGTGTAATTCGCAGTTTAGTGATTGCGCCGTCTTGGCAGTTCGCCTTATTGAGTAGAGCGCGAGGTGGCTCAGTGGTGTGAACCGAAAGGTCCTTGGTTTGAATCTGCCTTCTGTATCTCGACTGTTCTTGTCTTGGCTTGGGTAACCTTGTACTCCCACTCGGGTGGTGTGACAACTGAGCATCGAAAAGATGTTACAGCCGAACGATTATTCAATTTATTATTACATTGCCTTACTGCTTGGTGTCGTTAGCATTACATGTGTTATTTCTCGGATCCCCTTTCCAATGGCTTCTGTGTGAAGAAGTTGGACAGCTGACATAAATATTTCGTCTCATGAACCCCCAGCTTTCCGGCTAGTATTTGAAGAGTGAACCTTTCGGCCAAGTGCGACTGGCGAGCAATCTGACTAACTCGCATACAGGAGGGAACCTCCATCGAACCACGTTCATCTGTTCAGCATAGTCGTGTCTTTGTAATGGGGGTACCAAGTCCTACTTTCATGTCTAGATTAATCCCCCCTTACTAAAATAAATCCTCCCAGAGTAGAAGATGCGTTCAAAAGTTGTCATTTTCGCCGGCTTGATACGCTGGTTCTTCGTTTCCCGATGGGGACAATCAAAAGACAAGTCGTGAAATGTTAACATTTCAAATTACTTTGAGCAGTAGCGAACGTCAAACGTTCAACATTTATGGTTAAAGGACGTGGTAACAGCGTGTTAAATACACCGAACGATACATTGATGTAAGAACGGTATTGCTTCGGGTTCAGTTCCAAGGTGATTGGCCAGCTGGAATCAATAGTTTCTGTGCGTACGATTTGGTGAGGATTAGTTTCGTTTACGCACAGATGTTGCATTCAATGTGACTTGTCCAAATAAAGGTGAGGACGCGTGTCAACAAGTGTTTCATGTTTACTTGTGCTCAGCGGTTTCACAGTTCGTGAACTTTATTGCATATCACTGCATCGATGTTTGTCTTTTTACCTGATGCGAGATATTTCTGCGTTTATGCCTTTGCTTGTGAGCATTCGGACACCAGTAAAGAACGTGGTTATCCTCACTTGCACCTGCTGGTCATCGTATGGATTCAGACGGATATGGCCGTGACGTCCGCACAGCAGTTGTGCACCCATTTCTGCATCGTGTTCCCCTCTTGGCGTGGATTTTGAACCTAGCAGTGTTTTATGAACTTAACAGACACAGTCTTACAAACAAGCTTTAGAGACCCAATTTTACACGTTGAATCCCAACTGCATGCAACATAGCCCTGTACTTACATAGGGAATCGTGAAATACTCAGACCGAAATTACAGATTTTTTGACAAGTTAAAACGTTTCTACAGCTGTGCGATTGGCTTATGCCTTCAAGCATATCATTAGTCTGAGTATGGTCACCGGTAATGTAACATGTTCCACTCATCCAAAATATGGATTGTGGTCAGGCGTGTAGGTTCTGTTTTCTGTTCAGTGTACGCTTCGCTGTTCAAGCGAACCACTTCAGGGAGGTAGGAGATCGCGATTAGAAGTTTGCGTTTTCCGGCTGCGATGCACCCTCCAAGGACAATAGAGCGAAGGTTTCGGGACTCAGAGAAGAATGGTGAACTCCATTGAATATCTGCCGCCCGAACCGGACATCTACGCTTGATCTGTCGCAACAATAGCCCGATTACTGAAGTGTTATTCTGTTGGTTGAATGAGGCGATTGATGAATGGCCAGACAATCCGCGGATTGTGGGAAGTGTATTCGTAGAGACCACGGTTTTGATCTATAGAGTTGTATATGGATAGCACTATCGCAGTTTATACTCTGCCCCGGCAGGCAAACGCCGGTGCCGTAGGTGTTAGAGTTTGACTAAAGCTACCCTGGCCAAGAAATATCTTCGTTTCGTGCCAGTTCACCGGAACTGGCCTAGCTAAACAAGTTTACCTGCCACATTGATTGGCGCAGTCAGCAAGCACGAGGTCTAGGTTTTCTCCCACCCAGTCTTGTGGCAGCGCTTCATACCTCAGTCGTCATACACACGGTAGGATTGCTTAGGTTATTTAAAATGACTGTCAGTGTGACTGTACGTTTCCAAGAGCCAGATCAGCTCAGTATTATTGGGCTACTGGAATTTGTTGGAGTTGATGAACGGAATAGTTCCATTCCATCCTACGTAATAACCGAGCCCGCATAATGACTTGATCGGATGAGGTGAAAGTCTTTCATTGATACTCTCCGTCTGTGAGTGGTCCGGCTGAGTACTTGATTGACTAGTACTTGGTGGTTTCCAAGTAACTCGGTGTGAGTAATTGTGCTGAAAGTTCTTACGGACCAGCAACAGGGGATATTTAGCCCACAACTGAAAAGTCGCTTCCTGTAATCTGTCCGATTGGCGTCGACTTTGGATCTACGACGGAACTGTGCTTTATGCAGACTTGGTCGTTCGTGTCACCCTCCAGGATGGCATTATCCATCTTTCTTGCTGACCGAGGTAGTTCTGATAGATCTCAATAAAAGCTTATCTTTCTTAGCTTCAGAACTACCGTCTGTCTGGACGTTTGTTGTCAAGTGAACAAAATTGATCGAATCAATTTTATTAGAAGCAAACAACCGTACAGCGCGACGAATGTTTAACGGAATTCACTTCAATAAAGCGCCCGGATCTGTATACAACTCTTGCATCACAGATATCACGCTTCATTGATCGAGACCACCAGATATCCGAAGGAGGAAATGTGGTATATCCGGTCTCTTTATAAGCGGTTTGAGTTGTTTGATCGAATTGGGGTTTTGTATGCGGGTTTCTGAGCCAACATGCGTCGACAGAATGGAAAAACGAGGTCGCTGTTGCCCATTGGGACATACGGACATTTGAAGTTACAGCATGGAGCAGATCTGATGAGTTTAGTAACGATTATCTTGGCTTATTTACTGGATGGTAGTTTGGATACGGAACACTAGTTAGGTGACTGGCTGATTGTCAGGGCGCGCCCAGACAGAAGAAAAAGCACATGTGCAGAGTGACGCATCCCCAAGGTCACCATCGGTTCGTCACGTCCGGAAAGTGGGTGAGTCGGCGGCTCCAACGGAACACCGCTCTCACCAAATGGCTTAGCAACACACCACCAGCGTAGTGGGCCTGAGAATGTTCACGACTGGACCACCACCATTGGCTGTACGAAGCGAACAAGTGAACGACCATATTTGGCCGTTTAGTCATCCTATATATTTACGCAGAGGCTCTGTACGTTTTGTCCTGGCAATACAGCCGTGTCCCCAGTTCTCTGTCTTCTCCCTGTCGCGTAGTCTGCAGGCT